TTTAGTGTATTGTACATCAGCTGTCCAACCACTGTGAGGCAAAAGACTAGCAGTTTAGGAAAGAAGGTGAGAGTGCACCATATTCAGTTGAAAATTAGCCTTTGCCTAACTTGCCAATTAGAAAACAGTTAGCTCGGTAAAAGGGAACTGCTCTGAGAGTGTTTGCTTGTACAGTGAGGGCTGGGATCTGGGAGCAGATATTTTCAGTGAATGATCCAGGGTCAGGGTCTAAGTAAACAAGGGTCCTCTAGAGTAGTTTCAGAGTTCTTTTAATCTAATCAGAACTGTGGAAATGGCCAAGTCTTCACCCATTCCTCAAATTACCTGTTTTTCCATGAGCATACTGAAATTTTACTTTTTAAATGTTAAGTATTTGGTCACTGACTTACAGAGTAAAATTTATCTGGAAATGACTATCAAGACCAGCTTGGCGGGTAGCCATGAATAAAAGGTGATGTTATCTCGTAACGTTGCCATTTAGTGACTTGCCCTAATTATTAAATATTTAGGTCAACATATCCAACACTTCAAGCATCCTCCCTAATGTACAGGATGTTGATTGTGTGTCCTCAGAAAGCTGCTTGTTATAATTGACAGTGACTTTGGTCAACTGTAGGCTGACTGCTGAGACACAAATGGGAAAACTAGACTGGCAGCAGAATGCTTGGTTAAGTCCTGGGAAAGAATTTGGTCATGAGAGGAGAGACTGCAAGAGAATAATGAAAATAGTGGTAAAATGGAAATAAAAGGTAAAATTTTCCAAAGTACTACTTTCCATCCTCATATCAGTATAAATCTTTTTGATAATAAATACAGGGTGGTATCAGCAGGTGGTGTAATGGTTAAGGTGCTGGATTCCTACATGGCCAACTGCAGTTCAAGTCCCGGACTCAGCAGCTTGAAACTCACATGGGGTGTGTGTGCGTGCACACACGCACACGTGCCTAAAATCCTAAGAGGAGAATGGAGGAGAAGGGATTGCGGTGTGGCCATCACCTCTAGGGGGTGATTTCTGGGTTTCTGTCTCTCTCTTTCTCTCTCTCTCTCTCTCTCCAACAAGCACACCCACCTGATAGCAAAAAACACTTAAAACAGGGACCAGCAGTTGGCGTAATGGCTATGTCGCTGGACTCCCATGTAGTTGACCGTGGTTTGGGTCCCGGACCCGGGGGCTTAAACTCACGCAGGGCGCATGTGCGTGCATGCCCAAAATCCTGAGAGGAGAATGGAGGAGAAGGGATTGCAGCGTGGCCATTCCCCCTGGGGAGTGATCTCTCACTTTCCGTCTCTCTGTCTCTCTCTGTCTGGCGAGCGCACGCACCCTATAGCAAAAAAAAAAAAAACCCCTCAAAAAAAAAAAAACAACACTTAAAACAAAGCAAAACAAAACAAAACGAAAACAGGATGGTGGGAAACCTTACTTGGATGTAAAAGTTGCCCAAACTGGAATGAAAGTTTCTGGTCAAAGCACAAATTTAACTGCCTCTCCCCTGCTCATAAGAAAAAACCCCTCCTTATAACAGCTCAGGAACTTATTTCAGATTCCAAGCTTTGTCTTTCATCTCTCTGCTCACGGGGCTTTGGGTAGTGCCACATCTGGTGGTGGTTTGCTAGAAAGGAAATAATATATATATAATAGTTTCCTGTTTGGTCATTTAAACCTATCCCCATGCTGGACAGAATTTGGCCCACTTAGCTCAGCAGCAATGTCCTGTCACTGTACTGCCAGTTATTTATAGCTGTTGGTCACCGAAGTCACAGTTCTTTACCACTAGCCAAAAAGCCACGCTGGCCCCTTGTTCTGATCTCCACTGTTTTCATTTACTTAGTTGTTGATGGCTCGGACTGAGGGCTAGGATTTATTTCTTCAGAGCTTAGAATTATTTTGACGAGAAACTTAACAAAGTCTAATCAATATTGTCATTATTATCATTTCTTACTCATTTTGGAGTCAGAGTTTATTTCATTCCTGGTTTTTCTTTTTTCTAACTGAGCTTTATATGTATTGTGTAATGTCTGACATAGAGCTTTTTTAAATGCCAGTAAAAAAAATGAAGAGGACCAGCAATTAGTGTAATGGCTATGTCGCTGGACTCCCATGTAGCTGACTGCGGTTTGAGTCCCGGACCCAGCGGCTTAAACTCACAACAAGCACATGTGCGTGCATGCCCAAGATCCCAAGAGGAGAATGGAGGAGAAGGGATTGTAGCATGGCCATCCTCCATGGGGAGTGATTTCTCGCTTTCTATCTCTCTGTCTCTCTCTTGTCTTTCTGGTGAGCGCATGCACCCTATAGCAAAAAACCTCTCCAAAAAAAAAATGAAGAATAATTGGACTGGCAAATGGCGTGGTGGATAAAGGCACTGGATTCCCACATGGCTGACCGCAGATCAAGTCCTGGACCTGGCAGTTTGGCTTACTTTCTCACTTTCCCTTTCTCTGTGTCTCTCTCTGGTCAAAATAAAAAATAATAATAACAAACGGAATTAAATAAATAAATACAATTTTAATTAAATGAAGAATATTTAATACTTTGAATTCTCCTTTTCTAATTTGGCTTTGGTTCTTACCCCAGCTGTACTTGACAGTCTTGCCCAAGAGGTCTTTGTCATTCATTTGCCCCAAAGGTGGCCTGTTTTCCTTGCTCTGAGCATGTCCATTTGTGTTACTGAATGTCTCAGAGGCCAAAAAATTTGTGACATTATTTCTGTACATCAGAATCTTTTCACATAGCACTATATGGTAATCTTCAACTACAGAATGAATATTGACAATTTCCAAAAATGTGTATATATTTGGGGGGGGAAGGTCCATTCTGCACTTGCTTTTTAGTCTAATCCCTTAAACTGATTTCAGTTTCTTTTTTCTTAGAGACATTAGAAATGTATGGATACTTCATCTTAGTTTGTAATTCCTGAAATGCTTATAATGAAACAAATGTTTATAATATCATAATACTAGGGGTCTTCAAAAGTTCATGTAAAATGAATATTATTTAAAAATTATGCAGGGTGGTCAGTAGGTGGAGTAGTGGTTAAGGTACTGGATTCCCACCTGGTTGACAGTGGTTCAAATCCCAGACTCAGCAGCTTGAAGATCACGCTGTGTGTGTGTGTGTGTGTGTGTGTGTGTGTGTGTGTGCCCAGAATCCCCAGAGGAGAACAGAGGGAAAAGGATTGCTGTGTGGCTATTCCCCCTGAGGGGGTGATTTCTCACTTTCTCTCTCTGTCTCTCTCCAGTGAGTACACACACACTATGACAAAAACCTTAAAAAAAAAATTATGCATGGGTTTTAATTTTTTTTTTTTGCATTCAAATAAACTCTCTTTAGTTCTGTTTTTCTACAAACTTATTGAAGTTCCCAAACATGTTTGTTCAGAATGAAGTGGGCAAAATATGGCCCCAGGCTGAATGTATACAGAGACCTGTTTGGGCGCAGGGTTTGTTTGTTTATTTACATTTTTAAAGGCTTATGATCTGTGGAAGGGCAGGGGGAAAGAATATAGAACAGACTATCTGTGTCACACACATTTAAAAATATTTAACATCTCAGGACCAGCAGTTGGCATAATGGCTATGTTGCTGAACTCCCATGTAGTTGACCACGGTTCGAGTCCTGGATCCAGTGACTTAGACTCATGCTGGGCGCGTATGCCCAAGATCCCGAGAGGAGAATGGAGGAGAAGGGATTGCAGCACGGCCATCCCCCTGAGTGATGATTTCTCGCTTTCTGTCTCTCCATCTCTCTCTGTCTTTCTGGCAAGCACATGTGCCATATAGCAAAAAAACTCTCCAAAAAATAAAAATAAAAAATAAAAAAATTACCATCTGTCCTTTCACAGAAAAAGTTTTCTGTGAAAGATACAGGCTAGCATCATGTGTTAAAGTTGAAAGCCTTATATTTAGGGCAGCTGGTATCTGTTTGAACTTTAGACATGAAGTCTTACTGGGTACTGACTGCCGTACCAAGGTAAAGCATACTGTATTTATTCTGATTTACTACTTTAATTGATTCAATATTGGTGCTATTTATCTACTCTATTAGTGGTGCTCAATTATAGCAGCATTTTAAAATCATCTAGGGAGCTTTGAAAATGCTATTACCTAGGCCTCTATACCAGAGGTCCTGACTTAATTGATCCAAATGGGGTCTGGGCATAAGTATTTTTTATATACTCTTTTGGTGAGTCTAAACATAGCAGGTCTGAGAACCATAGGCCTGCACCATTCACAGGTCTACATGGATTAATAGTTAATCCATATCCCTCAGCAGTTTTTATTCATATTCTTCATTAGAAATGTAATGCAGATATATTATACAAATTGTTCTTTAATTTCAAAACAGACGTGTTGCTCAGGGAAATGTTAGCGAAGAGGATTCTGAAAAGTGAAGAGCATGTGAAACAGATAATGCAGAGCCCAGAGAAACAGAATTTGAAAGATAGGAAGGAAGAGGGGCCTGCTGGGGGGAGGAGAACACTCGTAATTTCAATACACAAATCACTGAGTAGGTTTCTTGCTATCTGGGTGAATGTCTCTATTTTCAAAAGTGCTATTAACATAAACAGAGCAGTAAATCTGGGGCATGATTCTTTTTTTTTTTCAAAGTTGTTAAGAAGAATTATATCAGTCTGCAGGTGTCACACGCAGTTACTCAGAAACAGAGAGAAGGCTGAGGGGGGTTAGAAGATCTCCAGCTATCTATCTTTTTGCAACCAACCACGTCCAGGCTGTTTAATACTTCCTCTTGCTAATGAAGGTACTGGTTGGGGATGGGCCGGGCTTTCCCATCTCTGCATAAGACTGCAAGATTTGAATGTGCCCGGTGTCGGCTCTACTGACCACTGCAGGTACTCAGGCAAGGATCTGAGCACTAGGAACAGGTAACAACAGCAGAGTGTGCATCAGGCTTCGGACACTTTTCCTTCCTGTTTATTTCCGTTTCTCCCCGTTTACCAACGCGTTCTTTTCCCTCTTCTTTTCACATTTTTCCAAACCAGCAAGTGCGGAGGCAAGACACATCAAAGCAGAGATGGGAAGTGAAAGAGCTCTCGTTCTGGACAGATTAGCAAGCAATGTGGCAAAACGAAAAAGCTCAATGCCTCAGAAATTCATTGGTAAGAATACAAATCTTTTCCTGCTGTTATTAGCAGATAGTTTGAAATAACATGGGATGCCTCTACACAGGCCCTTCCTAGCCTAACCTCTGTTAGAATAAGATACTCGGTTCCTCATCGTACACTGTCATTCTTCATGGCTCATATGGATGGGTCTAGCAAATAGAATGAAAGATTTTAACTAAAGAATTTTAACAAGAGAAGATGGGAATATCCAATCTCCTAAATGGAGGTGGTGTTAAAAATGCTGTTCCTTCCTCTTTACTCTGTATGACATATGTTGCATGAGAGAGTTTAAGCAATTTACACCAGTAAGATGTTCAAGATAGCATTTTTGTAATCTTTTGTAATTACATTTTACAAGTTGGTTCCCTTAACAAGCTTAAACTTTTTTCCTGCTCTAAAACATATTGTCATATTTTCTTGAATTTGAGATTGGCTTTAAGGGAAAACATAGATTTAAATAACAGGTTTGATTTAATTATTTGTCTTACTGAGTTAATTTTTATACCATTGGTTTTCACATTGTCAAAAAGTACAACAGAATGAGAAGGTTAAGAAAGAATTATGTTCATTATAGATAGGACTTCCAAGTGGCAGAGATATTTTGCTGAACTCCTCCAGACGTTCTAATAAATGTGATCATGATATTTAAAATAGCCTTGTATTTGTGTAGTAGGCAGCTGAATTAAATGTATCAGTTTTGCTATAAATTAAAAGTTGATGATACCGAACAAAAATAGTTGTCACACAAAAATAGACCTCCCTCGATACTAACAATATTTTAGAAACCTGTCATTCTCTTTTTCCAAAGCTGCTTGCTGTTGCTGAGTTATTACTTCTGTCTTTCTGTGTTTATTCTTTTCAGTATCTTTTACAGATAGTAAATACCTGCCCGGCTTTTAAATCTAGCTAATTTTATTCTGGTCTATATGATGTTTTTATAAGCAGGGTGTTTGGTGTTTTGTTTTTTGTTTTCTTTTCAAATTATAGAGATCTATTGAAAGAACTCATACATTTTCAAGATTACCTAAATATTTTCTTTTAATTAGCTGAAAAGCTTTTGTATGCTTTTAGTCACTTTAAGAATAAAGTATTAGGGGGCAACCAGTGGCTTTGAGGTTAAGGCAACAGGATCCCACATGGCTACCTACACAGTTTGAGTCCTGGACCCAGAGGCTTGAAAAACACTCTAGTCACATGTGTTTACATACTCAAAATCCCAACAGGAGAATGGAGGAGAAGGGATTATAACATGGTCATTCCCCACTGGGAGGTACTTTCTCATTCTCTCTCTCTCTCTCTCTCTCTCTCTCTGTCTCTCCAATGAGCACATGCACCCGGTAGCAAATTAATTAAAAAAAAAAAAAAAAAAAAAGAATGAAGTATGTCCAACTGAAGTTGGTATGTTTCGGTTTCAGGAGAGCCCCCCTCCTCCCTATTACCTTCCCTCCTCTTGGTGAGTATGTCAGGGGACGCATGGTGACTTCTGTGCAGAGTTGAGGCATAGTACCCCACCTGTGCCACCAGGACATTGTCTTAAAAAATAGTGCTCGTGTATCTTTTGACTTTTACTTCTGTGAAGAAGGGCACAAAACAAAACTTGGCTTGCTGTGCTTTGCCATTGGTGTATTTTCAGTTGGAGGAAATTTTAGTTGAGTTATGGCCAACCCATCTTGGTTTAAGGGAACTAAAATGTTAAAGAAGGGACCTAGTTCTTATAGCTCCCCTACACCTGTAGCTCTGCTAAGGCCCTGTTTCATACAATAAATGCTTTGGTATTTTCATGAATTTAAAAATGCGGCATGTTTCCTAAGTCCAAATCTGTACCATTTTGCCTGTTGCTCAGAGATCCATTCCTTTTGTTTGTGACCATTGTGACTAGAGTATTATTACTTCTCTCCTTCTAGGCTCCTGAGATGCTTTCTCTCCCCTTCTAGCCTTGGCGCTTTCTCTGTGCCGTAATCAGAAACCTAGTAAGGTTAGCTCTTGATTTGAGGAACCTAGCTAGCAACTGCAGGGCTACAAATCTCAGAATAACAGGGAAATCTTTTTTTTTTTTTTTGTAAGTTGTGCTGTAGCACAGTAAGGCACTGGATTAGAAGCCAAAATACTCAGGTTCTGATTCTAGTCCTGCCATTTCTTAACTGTGCATGTCTAGATAAATCGTGTAACCTTTCTGGGCCTCTACTTACTTACCTGTGAAATGAGACTGAATAGGTGATGATGAAGTGACCAGAAAGGTTCCTCCCATCTACAAGCCTGTGCGATGACTTAGGAAGGAAATCTCAGGCAGCCGGGACCAGTAGTTGGCATAATGGCTATGTCACTGGACTCCCATGTAGTCGACCGCGGTTCAAGCCCCGGACCTGGTGGCTTAAACTCACGCTGAGCGCCTGTACGTGCATGTCTAAGATCCAAGATCCCGAGAGGAGAATGGAGGAGAAGGGACTGTGGTGTGGCCATCCCCCTTGGGCATGATTTCTTGCTTTCTGTCTCTCTGTCTCTCTCTGTCTCTCTGGCAAGCGCATGTGCCCTATAGCAAAAACCTCTCAAAAAAAGAAAAAAAAAAAAAAAGAGAGAGAGAGATCTCAGGCAGCAATCATGAATACCACTTTGTGTTTATAAAGCCCACGTGTGCAACATCAGAAACCCTTTTCTCAAGTCTATACATATAGATTGTTGATGTTATAAACCATACAAAGATGTTGATTAGAGAATCTGAAAAAAGTTGCATTAGCTCAACATTCATATATTTTACTTAGCTTGTTCATTTGCTTCTTCATTCACTCATTCACAATACAAATGTTTAAGAGCTTGTGTCATGTATGTGATATTCTTGTTCCTGGGCACTGTTCTAATCTTTGAGCATCTACTTATATCCTAAATGTTTGTCTGAGACTGTTTTTAAGTAAAAGAAACCCCTTTCAATCACTTAATTCAATCAGTTTTTACGATGTCAATGGAGGGAAGAAAGGAACCTTATCCGTGACACTGCATAGTGTATGAGATGAAGTGATATAATATGCTGGCTTCTCTCGCCTTTTCCCTCTCTCCCCTCCCCTCCACTCCTCACCTCTCCCTTCTCTCCCTTCCCTTCCCTTCCCCTCTCCCCTCCTTCTCTCTCCATCCCTCTCCACCTTTCTCCTTTCCTGCTCTCCTCTTCTCTCTCCTTCCATATACTTCCTGTCCAAGGCACCATTTTCTGAAAAGATTCAGCTACCAGGCAGGGTATGGCAATGGGTAGGTGTGAAGGAAGAATGAGTCACTCTCTTTAATCCTTGCTGACGGTTGCACAGCACTCAGACCAGCCTTGGCTTCCCTGACCTCTTGAACTGTAAGGGTGAAGGTGAAATTAAATCATTAGGCCAGCCCATTACTTTCCTGGCAGGCTTCAGATGATTTTTCACCCATTGAAGATGAAGTGAACTGGGAAAGAAGGACAGATTGGATTCAGTCTAAGTGCATTTAGAATCACAAAAACATGCCTCTGTTGAAGAGTAGGAATAAAATTAGGGCCAGCTGGTGGCATGGTGGTTAAGGCAACTGAATCCTGCATGGCCAACAGCATGGTTCAAGTCCTGGACCTGGCAGCTTGAGAAACACGCTAGGCACATGTGAGTACTATCCAAAATGCTGAGAAGAAAATGGAGGAGAAGGGATTGCATCTTGGTTATCCCTCCATTAAATTCTCACCCTCCTCCCTTAAATTCTCTAAATTTAAGAGAATTTCAGTTTTTTAAACCAAAATGCATTGACCATAACTGGAGGCTGCTTTCTCACTTCTCTCTCTCTCTCTGTCTCTGGTGACTGCACGCACCCTATAATAAAATGTTTAAATAAATTGCCCAAGTAGGATAAATCAATTGTTTTCTAATTTTTCATGAAGTTTTGTATTGCTTTTTGTCAAATGGGAAATAAGTAGACACATATTCGTCGGAAATAAGCATCTTTATTGTCAAAGTAATTCTGTTTAGTTGTTCTTTCAAAGGACAAAAAGACATTACATTCAGTATCCTAACTCCTTTAGGAGTTTTCCTTTCTCCGAATTTTGTTCTCCTATTATAAACTCATTTGATAGTGTTTCCAACTAAACCATCCTCAAATACTTGGCTCAAAATGGAGGCCAGATTTCTCTCCAGGAGGGAGGGAAAAAAATGACTACATTTCTGCATATTTCTTTTTCCTGATTTTCATTGTTTCCCAAAAAACAGATTTATTACTCAGACCAAAGTAGTTTCAGTAGCATCTCCTTTTTAAGAATTTTATGTATTACGTTATTAAAGGAAGTTTTCATGTTGAAAGAGTATGAAAAAAGATCTCACTCGCCCGTGGTAAACATGTTAGTGAGGTTTTGACACTTCAACAAACACCACCGGTTCTCCCTGTGAAGTAACTAATGAGAAACTGTCTGCTTTGGTAACGGAGACAGGAAGACATTTTAATACCTGTTTCTAAGAGCATAAAGTATCATCTCCCACTCCTTCCCTTAGTCCTATAACCATTACAATGTTATAGCATTTTAGGGGTGTTAGGGACCACTGGTCAAGCGCTTTTACCCAGGAGGGAAGGAGGACCACAGAGATGGAGAGACATAGCAGTAGGTGACAGAGCAGGCCCAGACCTAGGTCTATAAGGCTCTGCAGGTCAGGCCCTTCCTTGCCCAGAGCAGTGCATGTCACATGTGTTACATGGGGGCTTTGGACAGTGAGGAGTCTGGTCATTGAGAACTGGTGGAAGAAAAACCCCTTACAGAAGGGCAGTTGTTCTCCGCTTAGGCCATGTTTCCCAGAGAAAAGGACTGTTTTCCCCTGGTGACTACATTAGGACAGATGACACCCAAGTGGCACTTCACAGTATCTCACAAAGGACAAAGTCTTCTTTTTTAAAAAAGATTATTTTTTATTTAACTTTATTTTTTTGTATATTTTTTTATTTGAATTTGACCAGAGAGGGACAGAGTGAGAGAGAAAGGGAAAGTGAGAAAGCAAGCCACCAGG